GCCGAGGATTCGTTATCGATATCACGAGCTGAATCGCGACGAGTGCCTATGGACGATAAATCGTGATAATCACCGCAAATCGTAGTCACCTTCGTGCATCGCACGCTAGTGCGCGCGTAGAAGATTCGGGTCAGTGCATTCGCGGAAACACCTGAATTTTGCAGTACCGTTAATTACATCGGCTAGCACCTCGCATTCCTGGAGTGCAAGCGCGGCAAGCATTTCATCGAAATTAATATTCCCTAGTGGCAAGTTCAATCTTCGTTCTCATTTGTATATTACGTAATGCATGACATAATTAAAACCTATTAAAAAATTTTTGAGAAAAATTTATTTTTGCCGTCTCTGGCGTATCTCCCTTTTTTATCATACTGCTTTCATTATCCATGTTTCTGCTTTTTCATTTTAGTAATCTCTGTTCTCCGTTACATATCTCGTGACATGAGGCATAAATTTATTTTAATATGTAATTACTTCTCACAGAATGATACAAATTTAATAAATTTCTAAAGAAATCTACCTTTACGAGGAACACTTTTGCAATTGCGCAAAGCGCGTTATAAATAAAGCTAATTAGAATTGAATCAATCTATAATTTTGTCGAATACTCACTTACAGTTCTACTGTTTCAAAGGTCGAACTCACCCATGCTATGAATGACTCCCATACGTTTCATTACGACGCGGTGGGTTACGCGTTATCTGCCATCTAAAAGTAGAATTCCAGCCGGGGGGCTTCAATACATATAGCGTATACATATGTCTGTGTGTGTGTGTGTGTGTGTGTGTGTGTTCGCGTGGGAATCATTAGAGCTCCAGTATAACATCGTAATACAGCACGAAAAGCCACGACAGTTTAATTCAATTTACGCCGCTCGCGCGCGCGGTCTTACCGTTCTCGTGTGAATTGCAACTACCCTCCCCGTGGGGGTCGACAATGTTCGCCGAGTCTGCGTGCGATTTCACGTTTAATATTTACTTGACGCATTTACCGTTTTTAGCGAGACTGCCGAATTATATCGATGCACCGATCGTTACCGCGCAACGAATCGTGATTAAATGGAATAAAACTCACCATCCCTTTTTTGCACGTTTTGCGAATATTGTACATTATCCGATTGCATCCCCCTTCTTCTCTTTCTCCCCTCGTTCCATCCTTTTATCGTTCAATGTTTTATGAATATTTACCGCCGGGTCGACCTTTATTCACGTCGGATGATACATCGTCGCTGAAAACCAATTGTTTGCGAAAATACGCAATTTGCATTGATCCGAACGGCATTTCCGATAAGCAGCATGGTTTTTCGCATTTTCGTTTAAACTTGCTCCATTAAACGCGTTTTGTTTAATTTACATTTCAGGCTTGCGCCGCTACGCATTTAATAACCTCTCATCCTCGTGAGTCAGGTTTTCGAGTCCAATCTTGTTAATTATGTTAATTACATTATCGACGTGCGTTATCGCGATCTCATCTGAGAGATTTTATATCCCAAGGAAAGAGAGAGAAGCGGAATAGAGATTGAAATAAAATTTCAATCAAAGTTTATTTCGATCAAATTCCAATCAAAATTTATTTTCTGTTCATGAGGAAATAATTTATGTCTGTTGTTTCATTACGTTTTCTGTCAATATTTTAGTATTGTTTTGAAATATTTTAGTTTAAATTCCCTTGCGAAATATAATCAATACCAATTTATATACTTATACATATACAGAATAATTTAGTTAAGCTGCTCATCCATATTAATTTTTTTTTTAAATGCTTTACAGGAAAATTGTTAAAAAGAAAATTGTTTTGGCCGGTCTAGGAAAGATATTAATTAGGTATGTGATTAAAAGCAGTTTAGGTGAGTCATTATATTTTATAAAATAACTGCTATTTATATTACTTCAACATATATACTAAATGCATTGATGAAATTTTTTATGATATGATGTAATAATCTGTGACTTAAAGAGACATATTTTTTTATAGAAAAATAACGCTGTTCCGCGTTGCTGGTCTCTCGACGGACATATTAAATTTTGTTAGTCTCTTGAGTTTCTTAACGATTCCACGCACGATCTCAACGGCGGACGTATTATAATATTTACTGTCCCCGAGTTGAGGAACCGAATTAATTCAAACCGGATATCGGTCAACTGCCGGAAATTCCATGAACGACAGAACGTGCCGCCGACGTCGGATCGGGGCAATCGTTACGGAAGCGCACCTTCTGCTATTTATCGCCGATTTCCGGAACGTGGTCGAGTTCGAAATGGCAAATTTTGCCGAGGAAATTTTAACTCTAAATTTAACGTTGTATTATATTACGATACTCATCCCTGGTTTTTGCAACCTGAATTGTGATTTCTCTCGTTCACAAAATTAAAGCGTGTTTTCAAGATTGGCGCGAATTATATTTATATCAGATTTTTTTTGCGATTTATTATTATTTATAGCATTATATTTTTGCCGATTCTCTCGTTGGCAAAACGATGGCTTAGAAAGGTCGGTGTTCGCAAATTAAAGCGGCGCATAATGCGCATGTGAGGTATGTAGTCGAGATGAGGCGGTGCCATTTAGCGGAGCACGCACGTAAATTTCCGGGCTAGGTGAAAAATTAACGAGGAGAACGTTCTTCGCCGGCCGCTTTACGCCGCGCGTCCGCGAGTTTGAGAGTTTATTACGCTAGATTTGCGAAAGCGGTTACTGCACGGAGACCGTTTCCAGTGGATAATTTTTGGTACTCGCTCGGAGCACATTCGGCGGAGCAGTTTTTAGAATTTTACGTGAAGTTAATCGCATTATCAAGGCTGATAAATTATTCGACAAATTGCACGAGTTTCTACTTTTAGTTGCTATCGCGTACCTGGTCATATATTTGAAACAGCAATGTAACTTTTCATATTTAAACAACATAGTCTTTCATTAAACAAATAGAGAATTCCCATGTTAAATAATTTCTTCTGATAAAATACTATTCTATGCTATTACAAAAATAATTGAACTCTTTCTTAATTGTTTAACTTTCTTTTTAAAAAGCGTTTCTCATATAGAATATTTCAATATTTTTTGTCACATAATTTAAAGAGAAATTTTCTCAAGTTCAAAATTTATAAAACAGCCATCCGATATTTTTCCACATTAGATTTTTCTTTTAAATATTCCTGTTTTAATCGCGAAATATTTTTATTTCAGAATCTCGCGTTACCGGTATTCCTTCTCTTCGATAAAACGCGTTTAAGATGCCGCCTTGCGACGGAAGATGAGCGATGAAATAATTTCAAAGTCCAGCAACATTTCCTTCGTCGACGAGGATGCGCCTAATGCGGACAGCGGCGCCTCTCGTCCGATCGCTTCATGGATCACGTCGAAGAGATTGACAAACGCCGAGGCGGGGGACGCGTACTTGCGGAACGTGCGGAGCTTCACGACCTTTTCGGCTTCCGGTCCGTCGGCGATTGCGAGGCGGGACTTGTCGGCGTCTAACGACGGCAAGATGCTCAATCATCGGCGGGAGTCGCTTCAGCAACGTCACGCGCGACAATCGTCCGTCTCGAGGAGAGACCAGAACGAAGAAATCGAGAGCGCTTCGCAGCGCTACGAGAACGTGGTGCTCAGATACCAGAAACCGAGGCCGCAGTCCAAGCGACAGATCAGCCGGGAACATCAGCAGCAGCAGAATAATAACTCGAGCAGCGACGAGAGCGTCGCGAGGAACAAGTCAAAGAGCACCAGCTCGATCGACGCACAATCAGTGAACAATATTCTGGACGAGTACGAGGATCTTGATTATTGCAGATCGTCGGATCTTAGCGACGTGGGCAATATTAACGTGACCAATTTTGAGGCGATAATAATGGATCAACAAAAGCGGCAGCAGCAACAAGAAAGATCAAAGCTATCCGGCACGAAAGTTCAGATTAAATCGATTCCAACGAGGGAGAAGATTCAACCAGTATTAAAGGTGAACCAGCAGACTCAGGTGAGACAGCGTTCGCGGGACAGACAGAAGGATTCCAGCAAAGCGCATCAACAGGATAATTGCCGCGCCTCGTCGCCGACGACGATGGATACGATCGACATCGGTCGCTCGAAGATGCCCGAGATGTTGCTACGCAGAGGAGAGGTTCAGAAGCGGGTGGACGAATGGCTGAATCAGGCGCACAATCAGAACTTTCCGTTGTCTCCTCGCGAAAAACCCCTAACAAGGTCCAACAGCAGCGCCGAACAAAAGAGCCAGCGAAGATATCGCGTCCAGGACTCGCGATCGCGTTCGATCGACGAGGCGAAAAGTAAATTGAACGGTGGAGCCTCGTCGAGTTATGACGATCTGACTCGGATGGATCATAAGATGGAGCGTGGCAAGCCGGACAGAGTGAATGTTGGCGTCAACACCAGCAGAGGCACATACAAAGAATATTTGGCGATGAGGAACAAAGTGAAGCAGCAGGATTACGGTTTCGGTGCTCAATCGAACATTGCGTCGTCGAAATCTAGCGATTCCAATCCGGCTTCCAGAATCCCTCAGAGAGAGCCCTTAGGTTCGAGCTTCAGGTCTAGACGTGCCGAAATAAATTCGGAAGAAAAAAACTCGGCTGACGGCAGGATTACGAATTTAGTGAAGACAAGAGGCGAATCTAATTACGGTAGAACAACCGTTAATAGTTCCAAGATGACCGAAGAGTCTACCGTTACATCAACAACAACGACGTCAATTATTTCCTGCAGAAAGCCATCGCTGAAGCGTTCTGGGAATGGCGCGGATCAGAATTGTGCGGTAGCACGTTCGCTCGTTAAGGAGGAGACGGATTCGCGCTTGCCGCGCGGAGCAGGCTTCTCGAAGGGCCCACTGTCGACCGGCAACCTTGGTGACCAAGGTGAGCTGATCTCACCAAATAAGGACGGAGAAAGTAGGCGACCAGCTGCTGCGGCGAGCGGGCCGACGCCGCGGCTTGCCGCCGCTGCCGCCGATAAAGCGGTCGAGGCGATCTGTAAATCGATGGAAGCGCCGACGAGTTGCGCCGCCGACCATCCCCGAGACAACTCGCCGAGAATCACTTCGATAGAATCGGGAATGGCGATTGAATCACGACGTCGATTACAGATTTCCAGCGACGTTCGTAGGGAGGCCAGATCGATCGATCAATCGCGACATGAGCAACCGAGCTACGGTTTGACAGTTGGCGCTCACGTGCGGGCTTTTCAAGGTCAAGCGGAGTCGCGCAGCGGTCTAAGAATCAGATGTCATCAGGTCGGAACATCAATGGAGATCAGAAAGCCACCGGTCTTTTCGCGCAAAGATCTCGCCGCGTCTTCTTCGCGAGACGTCGAAACACAGGATCTAACAAAGGCGTCGATCGATGTGTCTTCGTCGAGCTTTAAGCCGAACAATCGAGCCTACATCGCGACGAGCGATCCGCAAAAATCGAATGAGCAGAACGCCACGGGATCCAAGGTCGCAATCTGCGAGGCCGTCCCGTGTGGTAAAATCACGCGTTATACCTCACCCGATCACGTGGAGAGGATTTATGAGCGTAGTCTGCAACCGCAAGTGATCCATGCGGACGATCTTGAATCGATACTTCGACCTTCGCTACAAGTGTCGCCTTACGGTGAAAGAATCAGCGCTACCAGATCGGATAGTGACTCGCCCGTCAAGGAAACGTCGTCGATTCTTGAGGACGAATCGTTCGACAGAATCGGCGAGGAGATTGGCTTGAAGCAGTGCCTGAAGGTGCAGCAGAGTCTGCCGAACGGTAGATCAAGAGAATCGGCGGATAAGAGAAAGGACAATTCGTCGAATTATGCCAAGGACCAGCAACATCTGGTTGTCTTTAACGAGCCCGCGAGGACTTTCGCGACTTTCCAAACGACATCACCTTGTCAGGGTAATGTCAAGTCAAGTGTCCAATCTCGATCTTCGGAGATGAAGGAATCTAAGGAAGAAATTAAACAAAATTCAGACGAGGCAACGATGATTCTTCAGGATCTAATAATTGGCTATCAAAACGCGTCGCGAGAGGATCAGGATCGACTGATGATCCATTCGCGGGAAAATAGCAATCTATCAACTGCTACAATTCCTATCGATGAACTAGAGAATCAAAGAAGTTCAAGGTCAAAGAGTGAAGGAGAATCTTCTCGGAATAAACTTCAGTTTAGTGAAAAGTCGCAAGACCGCGTTGAAGAGACAACGAAGAATGCTGAAGAGCGTGGTGCGGTGATCAATGAAGTTCTTGTTAAAAATCTGCGATTTGAGCAAGATTTGCCGGAAATTCCGGCCGAAACAAAAGTGGATCATAGTGTTCAGCCGGTGAATTTTCATAATATTCTGTGCGACGATTACGAGAACGAGAAGTTGAGGAACAAAAAAATATATATGACGAAGGAGGAGATACATCACCAGAGACTAATAGATATGCTGAAGAAGGGGGACTTGGAGGCGCTAAAGACGGTGAGTGACAAAGACATTTAATATTTTTTATATTAGATTAGCGACTTATGTCAGTTGGCAATTTTTTTTTTATCGAGATGTTAAATCTTTATTCAACACTTTAAAAGGATTGATAGTACTTCACTACAATGCCATTACATAGTAATGGAATTTATTATGTTTTCGTATAATCGACATAAAAAATAAATTGCATTAAACAAACAGCATATATTCATCAACAGTGATTTACAAATCACCGCTGCCAAAAAAATACGAATTTATCCGGCGGCTGAAATTCAATCCTGACGAATCGACAATGCGCGGTTCGGTTTTCGTATCGATTGTTTCTCCTGCCGCGAAATATGTATCTCGTTTTAATCGCGATAAAACTTGCTGACAAGATATGCTTGACAATAAACCAATAATTACGCGCGCGCCGCTACGCGATAGTCTGCGCGATGAATCCGCGGGCTCTTTCGGTATAATTACAAGCCCGGCGTAATAATCGAGGTTGCTCGTTTTCATTCGGCTCTTTATTCCGATCAGGTAATAAATACGCCAAATTGCTATTACACAATGACACGATGCCGTTTACGTGTTGCCGCATTGTCACACAATGAATGTCCAGTTATTTAACACAGTGCGAATTCTAATTTTATGACACAACGAATAGAATTAATCGAGCTAATCATAAAAAACCACAAGTAGATGTGTAAATAGTTATTAGCTAATTATTCCCATCTATTTATAGAGATTATAAGTCATTCTGAATTGCTTTATATAAGTTGTTTATAAATCGAGCTAATTATGATAATGAGATACTGCAGTATCCAATAAAATTAAAATTAAAAACCATTTCAAAGTTATAGGAAAACGATAAATAATCATATAAATAGTGTTTGTGATCGGTAAATTATCTCGGCTAGTGTGAAGACTAAGATCCATAATACAACGAGCAGTGCGTCTTTATGCGAGTTGTAAAAGATGGATCATCGACCTAAGCGGCTTGTAAGATGCGCAAAATGTCGCCGGCAGTAATCATGCGTCACTTAGTAATGTCGCGTGTCATAAAAGAACATTGTGACGTAATGTAATTATCAAGTTTCAGCGTCGCGGTCGCCATAAACGTGATGTAATGGGGTTCGCGTGCGGCCCGAATGTCTCGGTATATCAAATTTTCCCCGAGGAAAGAGGGGGGGGGGGAGTAATATCTCATTTCCGGTGCGGGGAATGTAGGTGTAGGGTGCGAAAGGATAATTCGCCAGACGCGATTTGGGATATGCGAGATTTGTACCATCGGTATTTCGCTAATCGATACTTTGATATCGATGTCGATGAGACACATTATTTCATCGCTGTCTCCATCGGATCGAAAAATAATTTTTTACAGCATATAAAAGGAATTTCAATAAAAACTCCGGATTCGGTATGTTTACGCTGAAAAAAAGCTTTTTTTTAAAGTCTTCAAAAAATACTCGTAAAAACATATTTTTCAATTTCGCATGTATCAACAGAGAGAGAAAGGAAGAGAGCGAGATTTCTTTAATATGGACTAGCCTTTGACACAAATATTAACTTTGTTTCGAAGGCATCGTGTAGTTGCATGACGGATAAATACCGCGAATATACAACGACACGTACGTATGCGCCATGTACTCGCATCTCGAATGAAGCCGCTCGTAAACAAAGCTCGCAAAGGATAAAAGCGCGAGTGGTAAAAACGTGCGCGAAACACGTAGGGCAAAGATTTAAATAACTGGCACGAGCGAGTCGAGAGCAAAAGGAGACTCGTACATATCCCGACGAAGGCGACTCTGGACATTGCTCGTGACTGTTCTTAAAGGTGCACGAAGGAGAGGATTTCTCGACTCGTCGTGTAAGAAATAAGGGTGACCGTGGTGGACCGAGAGTGAGAGATAGAGAGACGAATATCCGAGAGTGGAAAAGAGAGAGCCGCACGATTTATGATTCGACCCAGCTGGGAACCTAGCATAAGGTATGCGGTTCATAGTACGCTTTAACGCGCAAGAAAGGTGCAATAAATTGTTCCGCGCGTGCAAATGCGTCTCGAGAACCGGGGGTAAATGCGAGACTCGCCCTTAACGAGATTCGCAGGACGAGGTCACTCTTCCTCCTTTCCTTGCAACGTTGACCTTCAAAGACGTGACGAACTCATTTCCCTTCTAACGTGCTTTTATACGTCGTTGATGGAACACGGAAAATTTTCTGTTACCTACTATTACACGTACACGTATGCAATTTCATATCTTTCTATTATACATATATTGAAAAAAATAACGATATAAAATACAATTACCCATATTTTCCAGATATTGCTTGTCTATAAAAAAAAAATGAAGTCGAAAATAACTAGGAATTTAAATTCTATCAAACTCAACTTCTTTCTCAGCTCTATTTTTACCTTAATATAATAATATAACAAATCTGAAAATGTTTTTCGTAATAAAAAAAAATCAAATAAACCATAAATGGGATTCGAAAATAATTAACCGTTATATCACAGAATCGTCTACCATTTTTCTCCGGCGAATATTGCGATGCACAAATTCTGAACGTGACACGCGAGATAAGTGGCGCAATTTCTGCAACCGTCGTTATACGCGACGAAACGTATCGTCGCGGCGCATGCATCAACGATTTATCATCCGCGCGATGCGGCTCTCTCAAAAGTTCATCTAGCTGCCCGCGAAAAGGGCATTCGCCTTCGCGAATCGCCAGCATTGAATCGGTCGTAAAGGAGATATTTACTTGCGAGCGTTAATGGGAGAGATTATTGCGACGGTTTTCTCTGATTCAAAGCGAATGCAGATCTCTTTTCGCTCTCCCTCGGGTCTCGATTAAGCTCAAACGCATTGTCAACTGCAATCCCTCGTTTTGAGAGGATCTATATATATATATTCGGTGTAAACCGTATATCCTGGCAATTCTCGCGACAGCCTTGAAATCTCGGTATGCGTTTTAATAACAATTGTGTATAATAGGAATTATTCGATATAATATGGAAAATATATATTTATTGCTAAACATTTTATATTTAATTACACAATATTATCGAAAGGTATCTTGATATGATAAGATGCTTCATATCTTTTCCGTTACTTAATGTCTCTAGAAAAAAGGCTTTTCATAGAATTTTATATCGTAGGCTTTCTTATCTTCCTCTGCTTTCGTGACGTGGGTCAAACAGATAAGACCATCGGTGTTATCCGAAAATATCAAGAAAATATCAAGAAAAAATTAAGAGATTTTGATAAGGACACCCACAAAGCCATTATAAGATCAAGAATTTTCTTTGGTGCGATATAACGGTTATTAAAATTACAAAAAATTAAAAGCCATTTTTTTTATTAGGTATTATAATTTTTATGCGATAGAATGATATCAATATATATAATATAATATCAATATTTAGAAAGTATTTTATCAATATACATATGTATATGTGTATATTTAGAAATATTACATATAACTTGCTGATGCATAATTTTATGCTTCTTTCACTTTGTTTTCTTTTCGCATCTATTTAGACCCACATACCATTGGAGAAAGAAACAGATGGACATCGTAAATATGCATATATCTATGTCGTTTTCTAATTAGATATAAATATTCATTACGACTTATAAAATAGTATCGTCGATACTTTCAAACTGTGTATTAAGGTCAATAGAGTTACACGTTTATAAAATTTACTATATAGGCTTCGTTTTTAACAATGCGATATGTAACCAATGCAATACCTCTTTACGATATTTGGCGTGAAACGGTTTGCAGAAATGTAGTAAGATCTTCTTCTGGCTTTAAATGCAGAAGCTTGCAGGATGCATTCCACAAGTTTTTAGCGTATTCATCATTGCTCGCTTTCCTTCGTTGATTGGCGGTTTCATCTGCTCTACCTGCACATGGCGGGTGATCCGCGAATTATGGGACACCCTGTATATAACATATAGCATGTTCTCACGAATAATAAAGTCCAGTCTCGTTAGCCGCTTTTTCATCCACTGAACAATATATCGTTGTCTGTGCTCCTTGTTCAACATTCTTAAACAAAAGCCACGTTAAAAAATTATAAGCAAAACCTGTACCTAGAAATAGAGTATTACTGGCGTGCCGACTTATCTCCGTTGGTATAAGACCAGGATGCAAAGAATATACGTTAATTCCGTGAATATTTGCTTCTGCAAATTGAAATAATATTTTATTTATTTAATCCATCTGTTTCACTTTTTTTCTTTTGCCAAATTATTAATGACTATACAGTTCGACAAAAAAAAAAGAAAAAGACAAACCGTTTTCCATAGTCTTTTTGATGCTGAATACACAGACTTCTATATAATATACTAAATTGCTAACAGCGATATGACAAGTGAAGCCAGCGCAGCCATTTACAATTGGGCAGAATATATATATATATATTATATAAAATAATAAATTAAAACAACTACTGAAGAATGTACAGATTGTAGCATATTTACTGGGAATCCAATTTTGTTTTTTTATCGCATTCAACCAGGCTGTCAATCGATTTTTATCTTTGAAGAGAACGCTGCAATATTATTTCATAAAAGTTTTGATTTATAAATATTTGATGCATATTTAATAACACATAAAAATAGTTAAAGTTTCTAAAAAAATTAGAGAAACAGATTACATGTACTTACTGAAAAAAAATTTATATTTCTTTCTTTAGAATATCTATTTAAACAGCCAAATATGCTACACAAGTCATTGGCATTTTTATTCTTATATGTGCACTATATACACTTGATATTTTTAGTTCATTTCTATTTTTTTTTAAATGTTTTAAACGTATACGTTTAAAAAATGAATGAATGATGTTTGAATGACATCAATTGATCAAATATCGAATTCATATCGATATTTTGCCCAATTGTAAATAACTGCTCTTGTTTCACATGTTTATTATATGAAATATAGCCGTTTTAGCTCTAATATGTTATATAGAAGTCTATGGCTGAATACAATCTCGTTTTCCAAATGATTCCATTACGTCACAATTTTGAGAAATCTGCATTTAAAAAAACAAAAGAGACTATTTTAATGTATTTTATGATATAATAGTTATGACATGCAACTTGTTAGAGAAATTTTATTGCAATCAAGATGAAGTATGTTGTTAGGACTTTCAATCTTTAAAAAGAATTTTTTGTCAGGTTGATAAAATATTCATGGTTAAATATGAGGTCTTTTAAATTATATTCAATCTTGAGTTTTTTAAACTGCTGAATACGAATCCAATGCAAAATTGACAAATTTAAATGGTGGAATTAATATAGATATTAAATCAAAAAATATTTGGATTTTTGCAAAAATTGCAAAATATATATTATATATATGCAAAAATTTATATATATATTTTGAATTTGCCAATTTTGACATTAGATTTGTATTCAGTGATCTGAAAAACTCTTAAATGTGCATAAACTCAATCAAAAACTACTTGATAGATTCTCAACGATCTAATTTACAACTTTTCCGCAATAAACCCGATATTTAACCATGAATATCTTATCAACCATAGTCGACACAAAACATTCCTTTTGGAGGTTGAAAGTCTTAATATACTTTATTTTGGATGCAATAAAACTTCTCCAACACTTTGCATATCGCGTAGCTATAATATCCAAAATACACTAAATAGCTGTTTTTGCAACTTTAACTGCAAGTTTCTCAAAATTGTGATGTGATTGAGCGATTTGGACAACGGAATCGCAATCATAAAAAAACTATGGAAAACGGTTAGTCTTTCTCTGGTGTTAAAAAAAAGTTATTTTTTGTTATATTGTGTTATTAACCATCAATTAGTAATTAAAAAATTGTAGTCATCTTTCTATAAACTATTTTACGAATCATTATAAAATATATATTTGTTTAATATTACTTGTCAATCGACGAGCGAGTTCCTTTGTAAACAGAATGTTTGCCAGTTTACTTTGCGTATAACTTTTAATTGAAGTGTAAGATTTCTCCAGATTAATATCATCGAAATCTATGTCACCCACTATAATAGAATGCTTCTGTTATAGTTATGTTTAGAGTAAACAAAGTTCGGATAAGAATATGTTCTTATTTTTTCAGTAAATGATAAAACTGGTATCACGCAATATCGATACATACAAATATAAGCAATTGATGATACATTAACTATTCTGCAACCGGGGGAAGACGATTGCATTTTTGGCATCAGTAGAAGCGTCAAAAGAAAATGGCCAAGATGATTCGTTTGTAATGTCGTTTCAATTCCATCCTCTGTTTTCTCGTACGGAAGCATAGCCACACCAGCATTGTTTACAAGGATATGAATGGCTGCTTCTTTCGTTAGTAAATTTTTAGCGCAATCTCTCACGCTTTTCAAACTAGCTAGATTGAGAGAATAAATTACAAGCTCGCCCGCAATATTTTGATACTCATCCTTTTTAATTCTAAAAAACACAAGAGATAGTCTTCTAGATTAAATTGTTTTCTTATTTGTTACGCAAAAATTTCATATAAGAAGTAAAATAAAAAAGAATAAAAGAAAAAGGGTTTCTTTCTAATTGGTGATTAACGCGGCTCCTAAAATAAATAATGACCGCTAATTTATTTGGTTCTTATAATATGATTTTAATTAACTAATATGATTTTATATATTTACCTTGAAGGTGGATTATTTTTTATATCTACGACTGCTTCGTTTGCCTTTTCCATATTTCTACAGGCCAAAATTACTCTAGCACCTAAATGCACAAGTTTGTTCATGTTTGAATATTTATAAAACCTTAGTTGTAGGATAAATATCACAATTAAAAAAAATTATATCTTATTTATATCACTAATCAAATTTTCTAAATTAAAAAATTCTGTATTAGATCATGCGAAGGAGACAAAAGGCAATCAAGAGTCAGCGCGGTAATTTGTGCGCTATGTTTTATTATAATCAAATTACATTGATATTTTACCTAAGTGATAGACACAATCACAAAAAGCATACGTTTTGGTTCTTTTTTTGGACCATCTTCTCGAACATCCGTGTGTAACATTTGTCTTCTGTACAATATGGGTGACTCACTCAAGTTCGATATATTTGTATTGCCAGTTGTTTTTTTAATGTAGTATATTTTATCGGACAGTCTCTTTCTATCTTGAAATCCCATTATATAATATTTACCTTCTGACAACATGGATGACTTACTCTTGTTCTGCGTATTATTACTATTACATTTTTGATATAATATATTCTATATACTTTAAAATAATTGTACTGAAGATGGTACAAAACAGGATCGAAACATACGCTTTTTGTGATCTATCACTTAAGCTAAAATATCAATGTAATTTAATTATAATAAAACATATACGCACAAATTACCGCGCTAGCTCTTGATTGCCTTTTGTCTCCTTTGCATGATATATTCATAAGAGTCTTTATTAGTTTATTTTGATCTGTATTAAATATTATATATTGTATTATATAAATCTCTTCTGTATTATAATTCTCTCATTAAAAAAGAAAATTCAAAGTTCTAGGATAAATTATCATTTCTTCAATATATTACCTCTTCCATAAAAATCTCTGGCAGTCTCCTTACCAATACCGCCACTTGCTCCTGTTATCACTACAGTTTTGCCGTCAAGTCGTGCATTACTTGTACACATTTTCGTATAAAACCACATTTTCTTACTTATGATGCTTCCAGAATATTATTAATACACAATTAATTATGTTGATTTTACTCACACGATTTCACTGATCTCGCTCTTTTCCGACTATGGAATGTGCTCAATAAACATTCTTCATTTTCTTATATACTGCCCTCGTCACAAGTGATAGTTGCGCATTAAATCTGCGCAGATAAGATATGTTTACTACTATTTCTCGTTTTCTTAAAAGTATATGTATGTATATATATATATGTATGTATGTATATGTTTATATATATATATATAGGGGAAAATAGAGTAAAACCGAGTAGGGACGGGTCAAACCGGTTATATCTGTTTTTTCGTGATAAATATTACTATCTTTGGCTAACTCGTGTTATATTAGCTGTAGATTGATGTCATCATTATTTTAAGATGAATCGTGCCCATGCGCACACGATATTTGTTTTTTTGAGAGGAGTTCACAATTTTTGGGCCAAAAAAGATCGATATCGGGACAACAATTGCCAACTTTCTTTAACTTATTATTAAAATTATTAAGAAATATAAGAAAGTGACGTTTGATTTTTCAAGCATATTGTGCAAGTTTTTGTAAAAAATCACAAAAATTATTTAGGATCATATTGTTTACTTTTATCATTACTTCGCACTTGAAAAATACGAGATTTATTTGTGCCGAGTATTTGTTGATATAAAAGATCGATATGTAATATTCCGAATGAAATGCATGCGATTGCCGCAACTAGGCATTTTACTATGGATGCAAGTACGCGATCGATTGAATTCGCGCAAAATTCATTGGACGACGCAAACCCTCGAGATGTCGGGTCATATACTCGCTCTTTGTAAATTGCATCAAACAGCTCGGGCTCGTAAATTTACATGATGGAGAAGGGACTCGATGAGGATATGCGTATGCCTAGGTCAACTCTGGATTGATGATGTTCGTGCACACTTACAGCGTACTGCTTATATAAAGCTGCGTGCAAACTTGAGCAAACATGCGGAGCGCACCGGTATGTATACACCAAAATAGACTCTCAAGATTTCGCAAAACGCTGCGAGTATTTTTACGCAAGATATTGTGTAATATCGTATATATATATATATAGTAAAATCTAATATAAGCAGTACGATGTTTTTTTATTCACTACTCTACGCTACGAATGAATGGAACGTCATAAAAAACATATGCATACACATACATAGAGTAGAAAAAACATCAACCTCAATCTTTGACCATATATATATATATGTACGCAGCTGTACATGCAGATGTATAACCAGATTGATGCATGTGCTTAAACATGTAACTTGCATTAAGCATGCCATTACAAATGCAAGACTGGTATATATACATCGTATACATATATCTATAATATTATGTAGAACATCGATTATTTGTGATTTACATAACAAAAGTGATATAATTCACAGAGTAATTCAAAAGTCAATGTAAAAATTGTTAGGGGTGGTAGAAGGGGGTAAAACAAACATTTGTTGTCAAACAGCATAGGATTGGCGTCTTAAAATTGTTGTACTGAATCACTCTGTAGATGCTATGAAATATAATGATAGAATTCACGTTATAGATATTGTAAAATATAATATTATTCAACTATACACAATATATTTTCCCGTTTTTAAAAAATAAATTGTTGAAGTTTTTTTACGTGCAAATCGATATTTATATATGACACAAATTTTATATTCTACAAGTATAAAGTGAGATATGTGAGCAAAAATAATAAAAATATTAAGTTAGGCCTTTCCGTTTTCAATTCCTTTATATGAAATATTATGTTTATAATGTTATAAGACTTTATAGCAAAGAATTTAATATAGCCTAAAATTTCAGTGTTTCTATATAAAACGATATTACGATTTGGAACATTAAAGATATTTGGTATTTCCAGAGTGATGCGTTGTTTTAATACTCGACATTAATTAAGTAATCAGTTTCGATTCTGTTACTAATAAAAATATGTACATAATACGTAATACAATTTCCATTCGCCATTTGCAACGGTATTTGGTAATAATTAGTTAAATCTTTTGAATTATAATTTCATCTGCTAATAAGATCTGCTTGAATAATCATCGGATTAAATCACCGTGTGTATATTATGATAAATTTTCGTGAGAGAAAGAATAGCGGGAAAAGATGCCACATTTAGCAGCGACCTGTTTTAGCGTATAGTGTTTTACGATGATACATGAAGAAGTGAAATGTAGGCTAGCGGTGAATGTAATCGAGGACATTGGAATGCGAACGTGCATGAATACTAACACACACGTATGTACGCGAGTGACCCTCGTGTAAATACACGAGCCGTATTGTATAATGGTGCGCGCGGCATATGTGCCAATCAGATGATACGCTGCGGGATACGAGATAATTGTCATGTGAGATTTCGGCATATTATTCCCTAATTATATGCGTCAGTATCATCGATATCTCTGATCATTTGCAATGTAATTGGTAATTGTAACATAATTGTAATATAATCTATTTTGTCCTCAATTATTTATCCTTAATTAAGCAGAGATGATTAAGATAATATGAATTATGTAAAGATATATAGAGATAAAAATGCTTATAAAAAAATATATGAAAGTAAAGATAAATGAGAAAGAGAGAGAAAGAGAGAAGATAAATAAAAGTCCTAATTTATATATAAGATTAATAAATATTGGAGATAGTTTAAATGTTTGAATTCTCTTTTTAATCTAATCGAATATTTACAGGTGAATAAAAGTGAGATCAAGTAAAACTATTATTAATTATTAAAATTTTATCTAATCTTGGATAGAAATAATTTTCGGTTGAATTACTTGCACTTGTGCCACTCGATTACCCTTCTCAATTCATCATGACAGGAGCAACGGCGGCGATGCAGCCAGCGATAGTGTAGATATAAACGGAGCTCGTTAGCGTTCTAAGGTCAAGTACCGATCGTCGTTCAAGCATGAAAGAATTCTTGACTACGTGGAGGTATTGCCAAGGCTGAAGTAAACAGGTGTGCAAAATTTACGAGCGCTACTGCAAGAGAGACTTCATACATTTCATTGTGTCATGCTCTCCTTGAAATATTATTTGCCTTTTATGCAATATTTTCGTTTTTTTTTTTTTAAGATCAAAGATTTTCCATCTCTACGATCGATGCTATTTTCTTTTAATCGCAGATATTAGAAAATAGATATAAAAGTTGCAGAATATCAATTACGGTGAATGATAACCTTATTATTAAAAGCGCCCGGAATTTTAATTAATCAAATCAGAGATATACTATTATATTATTATACTCTCTTTTGATAAGCTTTTACTATCATCTCGAATTAAGTTTTACGCAATAATAGTAATAATTATAGTTTCACGAGAATATAATCAATTGTATTTCGATTTTAATTGTGTTATCGAGGATTTCGTGCGATATATTCAAAGAATTAAAAACACGTTGTCCACAGTAGATTACGAGAACATCAAGTTCAATAGTCTCTGGATCAATGAAGGGGAACAGAGAATTTATCCGCGTGTTTAATCGCCGATAATATAACAGAGAATTCTATTCTCAATTCTATTAAATTTTCTATTGAATTCATAATTCTATTCAATTCGGTGTCTCTCGTTCTATTGATCTCTCCCGCGGAGAAGAACAGGACTCTCGTCTCAAGCGAGCAAGAGCCCTTTACACGACGAACGCTCTACGCTATTTAGAAATCTACTCGAACGCACAAAGGGATGTCATCTCTCTCGATGCGAAGGTGGCGATGCCATGCCCGAGCCCGAGTGCTCTCTCGTGCCACGCACAGCACGTGCGTGTCGCGACGCACACGCATCGGTGGTTGGGTAGTTCGCCCACCAATTGTCAACTTTCAATGACGCGGGTCGAATAACACCGGCAAACTTTCCAACACACGATATGAGGAGGAAAAAAGCGGAGTATCGAGAACACGGAAACGGAAGGTGGGTGACCGCCTGTATATTGTCGCGAAAATGTGTCGTTTCGCGAATCTCGTTAGTTTCATTCTGCGTTAAAACAATAGGTTGTTTGACTGTTATTTTTTTTTATCATTCTTTATTCGAATTTTATATTTTTGTAAATTTATTCATATGTGTGCTCTCTCATTATTGATTTAATATTGATTTAATATTGATTTAATATTTGTTGTTTAACACTAGCAAACTGCGAGAGATAATATTATCTCAATATTAAATGCATATAATTTTCGGTAGACGAATAGGATGTCCATGCATATGCTCGATTTCATAATGGACATTTAATAAGTTGTGTGGAAAAAGGATTTTATTGACTTACTGCTGAGAGGCTTAAAAAATTGTTTGCTGAAACATAAAAGAGCGTTATGCAACATCGTGTAATGAACGTTGCTTCGATGTACTTCACTGCTTTTTTTGACCTAAGGTTGATTTACGTTGGACTCGAGGTCAAAGAGCAGTCGAGTACTTTAGCATTAGACCGAGGATGCTGCAGACGTTGCAACCATCCTTGTGCATCACGCTGCAACTGGCGGCAATGCAAACGTCCCGGCATCGCGTTGTTGCTCGAAGCTACGAGCGCGTTTGTAGTACTATTTTTATACAAAAAGAAGACAAAAAGATCGATTTTCACAAATAACGGTGTGACGAGTTTTGGCCAATATAACTACATATGCAGGCGAATCTTCGTTATAATTATCTGAAGTGACAAACAGTTTGTTCTGTTCTCAATATAATTTGTTAAAGTGTATATTAATGTTGAATTTATATTAATTGCAAAATTATTTTAAAAAGATGTTCTGAGAATATCTTATATTATGTTTTAATAATTATTTGCAATTTTATCAAACGTGTATAAATTTAAAAAATCATGAAGTATACAAAGATTGGAATTAAATTATCCACTAAAATTAAACACATCAATCGCATATTATTTCGCTATTGCAAATGAATCTCAAATAAGAGGATACTGTATTTTCGTAAGTCTTGCGCGTTGGAAAGTTAATAATTCCTATTTGCGCCTAATTAGGCGCGACGTCGTTGTCGGCAGGTATCCGATGCACTGCGCGCATCGATGCGCAATTATTAAGACTACACGCTCGATCCTCGAAGCTGTCGCTCGTTACGTAAGCTTCTCGCGTATCC